TTAAGAGTTTCTTATGAAACCACTCTCTGGTTTCATCTTGTTTCATTTTTCCCTCCCTCCCCCATGATCCTGTCTTGTTTCTCAAATTCCTCATATGAGGTCATAGCATCTCTAAATGAGATGATCAGAGAATATAAAATAAGACGGTCACTATAAAATACATGGTATATTATCAGACAGACCAGCTTTTTTAGCCTTTATTTATTGCCAAGTCTGAGGTCTCACAAGATAAGGCACCCCCAGTGCTAATTAAGGTATGCTCTATGTTAACAGTGTCTTGAACCCTATTTATCATAAAAGAATATATCAAATAATATTAATAATTATAGCTACCATTTATTGAGCACCCATTGCATGCCAAGTTCTCTCACTTTTAAGGTGGGTATTATCATCCCCATTTCACGGATGAGGAAATTAAGGTTCAAAGGGAGGCTAGGTGACATCCCTAAATCCACACAGCTAGTTAAATGGCAGAAACTGAACTTGAACTCAGGTCTGATCTGACTGGCTCCAAATTTCCTCCTCTACTAGGTCTTCCATGGAGTGAAAACATAGACTGAGTTTCACTATCTGAAATATTTCATCATTTTAAAACATAGAAAATATATTTGGACTTTGAGAAATTGCACTGTATATTTCTTCCTAAATTCACTGATTCAGTTGACTTTATAGCAGAAATCCTCTTCCTTCTCTTTAGTATCCCACTAGGTAAAATTTCATCCCAGAATTACTGGTATAACCTCATCGACTTCTGCTGAACCATTCGAACTTATTTGCTTGAAGATAGGAAATAAAAAAAAAAAAATTTGATGTTTTTAAGCTATCTGCTTAAACAATCTGTTTAATACTCATTCTTCAATCTGTTTCATTCTCATTCTTTTATGTTAATGGTTAAAGTTCAAAGTCTGTCTCATCTTATTTAAAAAAAACTATCCATTCTTTGTTGCCTTTTTTTTATTAAGATGAGAGTATTTTTTAAAACTTACAGATCCACAATAGATAAAAATGAAAATCACAGCCCTTGGCAAGATTTAAAACATTAGAAGAAGAAGGCATCATGCTGTAAGTATGATTTGGAAGGGTAGGGAAATATGCCTACAATAGAAATACGGCTTTTTGCAAGTTTCAATTTATCTCAGCCTGCAGTTGCAATTATGCTGTTCAAAGGTAAGTAAATAAATAAATAAATAAAATTCCAGAAAATCAGCCAAGTTAACTGAAAACAAGATGAGCTCTGTGTTCTGGAAAAGAAAAAAAAAATCTCTTGTAAATAAACAGAATTGTTTTTACTCTGCTCACCCTTACTTATCTTTGGACAATTTCCCCTGTCTGGCAAGTAATGGTAACCCCCCACATGCCTCTTGGCATTTATGTCTCACTGTTTTAAAATAGCTTTTAAAATAAATTACAGCTAAGGAGTCAAGGAAAAACTTCCTCCATAATAACCTATTTTTCAAGCTAGCAAATCATTAGTGTGGGAAAGCATTTCCACTTGCAACTTGTCATCAAACCTTCTGTACTTGGTTGATTTTTTTTCTTTAATAAAACAAAAATTACTGAGCTTCGAAAATACATCTTTCCAACTGCAAACATATTTAGGACAGGGCAAGCTGTTTGAAATTATACCAACAGTTTGTAAATGTCATGCCCAATGTGCCAGCCAGCATGTGGCAGTTGGGTCTTGTCTACTTCAGGGTTTTGTAGAATTATTTATAGCACATTTCCTTTATTTCCAAAGCCTTTTCCAGAGAAACTATGCTAGTCCTCTCCTAGATAATATGTGCGTTTCTAAACATTTGTCCTATTAATACTGTTTGACCACAGTGTGCTCAAAGTCTTTTCATGTCCCTTGGAGATCATTTTAACACATGGGTCAAAAGTTCCATCCAAGAATCTTTGCCAGATAACCAACTCATCCAACATTCATCTTGAGTATGTTATAAATGTCATTTCAATACCAAATGGTTTAACATGCTTGCCCGTGTCACATGGATCAGAAACTCCACTGAAAACAACTACATTTGCCTGAGTGTTTTGACTTTAAAATAAGCATGTATGTGAATTGGGGAGGACAGGGGGCAGGAAGGAGGGAGAAAAAAGGCAGCCAAACTAATAATGTGATGTTAGCAAACATTTATATGTCAGTAAAATTCTTTAATTTCTCTGACTACCATGGTTACACTGGAATAAATAGAGGAAAGGAATCACCGCCAGTTGGAAACAACACACTTAGACTGGAAAAGTTCAGGACGGGCAAAACAGTAGCACATGAAGTATAAACCAGGTGAGTTGGTAGGAGACACCTGGTAAAGAGCGTGAGATTAGTACTAGAATACTGCCTCACGAGGATAACTCCCCAAACTGTTTTCTCTCTGCCCTTCCTATAAACAATACTTATTTAGTGGGGTTGCCAAGACAGTCCTTCTGGAAGAGCTATTTCCACTCAAGTCAGGATTTAAAGATTAGATAACACTGGGTGGAACCACAGAATATTATTTCAACATGAAGCCGGGCTTATTTCGATTACTTTCTGTTTCATGCTTATAAAGTTGTTCGTGTCAAAGGCACCCACCCACTTGTGTGCCAGGTCCAGGATGCTCTGCCTTGTCACTCCTGGAAGAATGATGCCATCTAGCGGAGGAGTTGCCAGCTCTTCTTCTGTCAATTAGAAATTGGAATATTTTCAAACTTTAACTACATTAGCCATGCCTTATATTAACAGCTATTTTTAAAAACTGTTTCTCGCAACTTTGCTAGTAATAAACATGAAGATGATGTTACTGTTCCGCATTATCTAACTTCCCAAATCAATTCACACTTCAGGTAACTCTTTATTAAAAAAAAGGAGGAGGAGGAGGAAGAAGAAAAAGGAAATAAAGCCATTCATCGAATTATCCTCAATTTATCTTTACCTAGTAAAAACCGAGATGATGTTCCACTAACAAACAGTAAGAGGAACATTCTGAAGTCAAAATTTACCTCTGTGGATTAATACTGGTTAGTAATTAGAATCATGTAGATAGACCGGATGCAGGAACACTGGTCATTACCAAAACATCTAAGAATCCTGTGGAGGAACCCAGCCTCAGGAAGTATGTTTGCCTATTCAGGTTGGTCACTGCTTCTACACCACCCTTTGTAGATATACCTATCTATAGTGATTTCCAAACCTGGAGGAGTATCCACATCAAATATGGGGATACTGACTTCACCCTCTGCAATTCAAATGTTAACGGGCTCAGGGTAGGCTCAAGCATGTATGTGGCTAACAAAGAAAAAAGAAAGAAAAAAAGAAATCTGAAGAATCAAAACAAAATTCCATGGGTGATTTATGGAGAGCCAAGGCTGAGACACTGGTCTACTACTATCACATGCATTCCTAACCAACACAAGGGCCAGTATGATGATCTGTCTACAAGAGTCAGCGTGATCCAACAACCACATAAGCTCTCCTTACAGGAAAAGTCTCTAGTACTCAACATCCCCTTCTCCTCCCCACATCTGGCATCCAGGAGTCTAAATCTAGGGAGAAATTTAAGCCTTAAATCATCACTTTATAAAGATGTTGAACCTTGTAACAGACGTGTTGCTTATCATGTGTTTGTAGAGCAATAAACAAGGTATGCTTGAAAGGATCACCAGGTAGCAAGAACTGTAGAAATCACGCTGGTATCTTTAAGCTCCCCCAAGCCATTTTAAGCAGCTAAAAAGGACTTGAGAAATCACCTCATGCAATCCTTACTTTTCAGGAAAAAAAAAAAAGAGGCTCTCTAAACATAAATGACTTGCAAGACTGGTAACACGAGGGGAGAGTCAGATCAGAACTTATGTGTCCCAACACTGGGGCCACTGTCCTTTCTTTTAGTATCCTGTGGTCAGGGCTCCCCTACTCCACTGTGGTTCCACCAGATGTCCCCAACAGCCAAGCTGTCTGGAAGACCAAAACTCTATATTCATGCCTGTGTCCCCCAAACTTGGTGTTGTGCCTGGCCCAGTGTGGTACGTAATAAGTGTTTCTGAATTTAAAAATAAATAAATAAATGAATGAATAATGCTTTTTGCTAGGAGACAGCAGCATGATTTTTTTTTTTTTTGAAGTTTGTTTCTAAAAATCATCGGCTGAAAACCACTTTCTGGAAAGGAGAAAATTTGTTCTTGGCAATGTTCTTAGGGCTACTCTTTGTCGTGTTTAGAAGTGTTGATCTCAAAATAAACCTGTGTTTTGCAATAGCTAGCTAGCTGGACACATAAATGTAGGGATCTATGTGTGTGTATGTGTGCAGAGACAAACATACTTCCAGTGCCTCCAAACTGGACCTTTCCTAAAGCCTGCTGAGCTCTAAGACTACATAAAATTAAATAAAAACAGAGGCCTCGCATGTGCAAGTGCAGTTTTGTGAAATATACTTAACACCCAAAACCGTAACCACTAGCCTAAGGTCAAGGCACAGAACATCTGTTTCTCTGGTTGCCAGACAGAGATGATGACATGACAACATTTGGGTGAGAAATATTCATTTTCCTCTGCAACCACAAACATGCTTACAAGAGCCAGAACTAGCTCCAGATTGCCCAACATGAGGAAAACAGAGCCTACAAATACAACTTGTTTTTGACAAAGAAATCATTTGTAGGAGATGAAGAATTTAGAAGCAGTAACGGCAGAAGTCATCTGTGACATCCCAAAGTCACTTTCTTAAAAAAACCAGGAATGTGGGTTTGTATAAGTGCCCACCGTCAGCACAATTATTATTTATTCAACAATATATTGAGTGCCTACCATGTACAGTTGGCTTATCTCTGCATTATGCATATAGCAGTGAGCAAACCTGATATAACTCCTGTCTACTTTCTAATAGGTTGAGGCAAACAATTATTATGTTAAATAGTATGTTAGACTATGGAGAAAAAAAAGAAAGAAAAGAGGGAAGGCAAAGGGAAATGCTAGAAGTGATAGGAGAGGGAGTCTGCAATTTATTAAGATGTTTGAGGAAAGCCTTACTGAGAAATGGATATGTGGGCAAAGACTTGAAAGCAAGGAGCAAGGCACGCACACATCTGAGAGAAGACTGCTCCAAACAAAGTCTATAAATGCCTGATGTCTGAGAAGGCTCATGGGGCCCGAGCCCAGACTGAGCAAATCAACATTCATTGCCATGATCATTCTCCCAAACTAACTCTAAACTCAGCCACACAACTGGGTCTTATTCTCAGAGTAGTTCCGGAGTCCAGTGCAAGGTAAAATGGTTTGTTCCAGCTGTGACTAGGAAGCATGTATGATAAATTACTCAGCACCACAGTATAGCAGAGAATCAGTGCTGTGAGATCTTACTCCCAGGGTCACTGTTACTAGGATCAAAACCACACGAGTTACAGGCCAAGTGCCACAGACAGCTATGGTGCACGGCACCGTGCTGTGAAAACAGATTATTTACTTTATATACCTTTCTGGAGCAGCCATTCCTTTCTGGAACTCTACCTTACTGTAGAGTTCCCTCAATGTCTTTTGCTTTTAGCCCAAAGGTTATTCCTGACATTCTATTGACTTCTCTCATGGTACAGTCCAAACATTTATTGCACTTCCTTTCCCTTTACTTAAAATTTCATTTGCTCTGTTAGGTGAACATGCACAAGTTGAAAAAGCATTAAAACTAAAGCTATCTCAGGCAACCATAATCTGAATAGTAACTCTTAGAGGGCACGTATTGAATGGAGCACTGGGCGTTATGCACAAACAATGACTCATGGAACACTACGTCAAAAATTAATGATGTAATGTATGGTCATTAACATAATAAAATAAAATTTAAAAAAAGAAAAAATAAATAAAATTAAAAAACCCAAAAAACAAAACAAAACAAAGATCTGATATATTTTGTAAGAGTCAAAAGACAAATTCACTCGTGTCTATTCTGACCTTTAAAAGTCATGGTAGAAATGGTTCATGATTGTTCTTTGGATAAGGGGTAATTTTTCAGCAGGCAAGTTTCTCCTGTTTCTGGTTAAATCGTGTAGCTCTGATTCAGACTGTACTTATAATCCTGACATCTCCCATCCATAAATAATGATGATACCACTTCTGTATGACGTAATTGTTTTTGTTTAGGGTTGTGTGGTTTTTTGGGGGGGGATCGAGGTTGGGGGTAGGAGTGGGCAGGTGGAAAGAAGGAGTTGAATCAATATATTATCTCCTACTAAATACAGAGTGCAACACTGGCTGTCATCTTTCAAGCATAGCTTTCAATATACGTCATATGCAATGACTCAAATTTAGCAATCACAAATATTCCAGTATAAATTTTGTTTCTAAACTGTGTCAAGTACAAACAACAGGAATGAAAGAATCAGCATGATCTGCACCTGGCTTTTCAAATGCCAAGGATTACCAACGGTCAACCCAAGGACAAGGTGTACTCACCACACCTGTTTATTCTACATCTGACTGGAATATAAGGCTCATCTTATTAGTCTCTGCAACTAATGCTCAAATTAGTGCATAGCTCTGAAGTCAGCCACATCTGAATCACCATTTTCCTCTATTAGTAGCCAAAAAAACAAAAGAGCAGTAAGTTACTGTAGCTATTTTAAAATAAAAATTTCACTTAAAATTTTAATTGAAATGAATACTCAGACCTTATAAGCATTTGGAAACTTATATTTCTAGTCTCTAGACTCAGTACTGTGAAATGAACAGCCTAAGAACATAAACAAGCCTAAAAAGATGTTTTTAAACTTTTATGACTATTAAAATTCTAATGGAAATAAATGCATATATCTGTATTGTTCCCCATTATTGGTCATTTCATCCCATACCTAGACATTGTCAACACTTTGCTAAACCTCTATGGTCTCTGCCAACTAACTGAAAAATAGAAAAGAAAGATAATGAGCATTCAGGATATTTAAGGCAATGAAGAAAAACAGATTTTTATAGTAGACACATATTAACAGGTTTGAATGAACCAGGATCTAAGTACAATCCCAAAATGGACCAATCTGCCCTTAAAAGGAGTGTGTCTTAATCAAATTGAGCTCCAGTGTAAATCTGGAAGATTTCTGATGTATTATCAAAATATGTAGAAAGGGCAACAGCTGTTATACAACTTTTAGCAAGAGAATACAGTAAATTTCATATCAGTAGAATAAGTAGACTATGCTTATCACTGCAGCATTTTATACATGCAGCATATGGTGAATGACCACTGAATTGATCTGAGACCTATCTCTAAATGAAAGGGATTTTGGACAGGAAAATGGGTGAGAAGATGGCAGAGGGGATAAGGCAACAAATCTTCAAATCACAGAGTCTTAAATTCCTTAAGCTGACATCTCAGTAATAAGCACATCTTGAGCCCAAACCCCAAAACAAAACCTTTACAAATTCTGTGAATTTAAACTCATTTCTACTTTAACAACAAAAGCGCAGTAGTTCTTAGCCTTTGGGCTCATGCTACTTATTCCTTATTCTAAGGTCCTCGTTCTTTTTTCTCTAGCCCTATTGAAAATGATTGACAAATTGCAAAGAGCTGAAATCTGAGTGAATTACCTCCATCTTCATTTATCCAGTAAAGAAAAAGATTCATAGTTCCAACTTCGGTTATCTGATTATCCTCTCCATAGAGCCACAGAACCTGCTGACAGCCGTGGTCTGCTGCTTCGCATTGGGCAAAAAGTGATGAGCCGTAATTCCTTTTAAGAAAGGGGAAACATATTGACTATGAATATTCTACCCCTCCTCTGCCACCTTCCATACTAAAATCCTCAGGTCTTTAATTTGTATGTGGATGTAGTCAATGCACCATGCACGTGTGAGTGTGTGTGTGTGTCTGTGTGTGTGTGTGTACACTAGTTAACTGCATAACATTAAAGGAAACTCATTAGACAAACTAAATGATCTAACTGCACTCACGTGAGAGAGAGAGAGAGAACACAGCAAAATTGTGGAATCCTAAATTGAAAAGTAGAGATAATGAGTACAAAGATAAGTAGCTAAGTTAATGATAACAGTTAAAATTTCTTAGGTATTTTTTCACTTTCCAAGCAATCGTCCAAGAATTATTTCATTTAAACCTCACACCAATACTCTAAGCCAAACATGTATCAAATTACATGAAGTAGCAGAGCACCAAGCTGTGCTCTCTTAGCTGAGACCTTTCAATATATCCAAGAGACAGCAAATGCCCAATGTCTAAATTCTCCAAAAGGTGGGACAAAATGTTAAAAATCCTGATTTTAACCAAAAGTATTCCAAAAGCCCATTTTTCTCAACCTGCACTATTCATCCTAGATTATTCAAAATTAAGGGAAGATAGTACATCTTCCTAGAATAACAGTTTAGTTTAATATTTTAAATTTGTCATCTTTTATTAAACTTGAATGAGAAAATTATGGCATATATTACAAAATATGGATGAATGTTTTAGATAAAACATAAGAATCCTCAAATAAATATGTTTGCTAGCCTCCCTAAGCCCCTGGTTGTATAATTCACTTTCCCCGGTTTTCACAGGACATTAGCAAACACGTTTGAGAAGCACTACCAAATGAAAATCGAGGGCTTGGAAAGAAACCCCAAACCCGCCCTTGATTATGATGCCCCCAAACAAACATGCAGAAACAATCAAACATACGACAATAACTACAACAAAGCATTAATGTCAGCTTCCACAAAATACGCACCTAGGCCTTTTAAAGGTCAAGATTTTACATCTGGTCAAGATCAGAATGTCTAATTAAAAGTATCAGTTAAGCACTAGAGCCACATTCACTCACCGTGGCTGTCTGCCATTTTCTTTTGCACAGCTTCCCGGTCCCACTATATTCTCTTTGGCCCTTCCTTTGGAGCCAAGTCATTCTGCTTGGGTTGACAGTCATTATACCTTGCCCTACACAACTGAAATAAAGGGTGGGCATGTAACCTAAGCTGCTCATATAAGCCCTTCTTTGAATGATTCACTCATTCATTTTAATGTAGGGAACCTGAAAGATGTTATTTTACCCTCTGGGGGTAGTGGCAGCCTGTTTGCTATGACATAAGCCTGAGGTCTATTGTGTTCATGATCACCACCCTTCACAGGAGAAAGCATCTGAAGGAGGAGAGCCCTAGGCTAATGCACAGGCAGAAGCTACCACAAGAGATGGAGGGAGGAGGGAAGCAGAAAGGGAAGGGCAAGAGAGAGAGAAACAGATTGGGGAGAAGGATAGCGCATGAGCAGGACATACACAAGGGCAAAAGAAACTTAGCAACAATGATTTGAGCCCCTAGAGGGCCCATCGCTACCTTCCTACTTACATGAACCACTCAATTCATTTTCTGCTTAAGATGGTTTGAGTTGGTTTCTTTTTTTAAATATCTTTTTGTTAAGTAATCTCTACACCCAGTGTGGGGTTGAACCCACAAGCCCAAGATCAAGAGTCACACGTTCCACTGACTGAGTGAACCAGGGACCCCTTGAGTTGGTTTTCTGACTTGCAACTCAAAGAATATTGACTAATAACTAAAACATTCTAGAAAAACTATGGGAAAGAGGCATTATATTATATGGCTATAGCAACATGGGTCTTGAGTTTATTCACATCAAGGTAACGTAAGATTCATTAAAAGACCTTCAAAACGGAGCACCTAGTTGGCCCAGTCAGTTGAGTGTCCGACTCTCGATTTCGGCTCAGGTCGTGATCTCAGGGTCGTGGGATCGAGCCCCACGTCAGGCTCCAAACTCAGTGCAGAGTCTGCTTGGATTCTCTCTCCCTCTGCCTCTCCCCCCTGCTCGTGCACACTCTGTCTCGCTAAAATAAATAAATCTTAAAAAAAAAGACCTTCAAAATGCAGATAATAAAATCTAAATTATCAGAAAATCTAGAGAGGATACAATTCTTTATATAGGAGGCTTTTGTTTGATGACCATAAAAAGTTGGACCGCCCAGATTAAGAATTAATGTTAAATAAGCAATAATGGAGTTAAAATTATGAATACTTTTTAATAATGAGGATAAATGAGACTTCAGGGGAAAGTCCAATAGAAAGAGCATGGGTTTGGGGCCAGCAGACCAAAGTACAGCTCTTGAGCTTCTACTATTTGGCTACGTGTGCACTTAAGTAAGTCAGTTCATATTTTTGCCTTAACGAATTCATCTGGCAAATACAAATACTTGCTTTATACACTGCATAGGGCTATTTGGAAAAAATGAAACAATAACAATAAAAGCTAAGAAACAGTGTATGTGAGCCTCTTATATCCTAATAAAATTAAGTTTTTTTAAAAAATAATAACTATTCTAGGGCACCTGGGTGGCTCAGTTGGTTAAGAGACTGCCTTCTGCTTTTTTTTTTTTTTTTAACATATAATGTATTATTTGAAGCGGGGGGAATTGGAGGGGGAGACGAACCATGAGAGACTATGGACTCTGAGAAACAAACTGAGGGTTCTAGAGGGGAGGGGGTTGGGGGGGTGGGTTAGCCTGGTGATGGGTATTAAAGAGGGCACGTACTGCATGGAGCACTGGGTGTTATATGCAAACAATGAATCATGGAACACTACATCCAAAACTAATGATGTAATGTATGGTGATTAACATAACATAATAAAATTAAATTTGAAAAGAGAAAAAAAAAAAAAAAAGAGACTGCCTTCTGCTCAGGTCATGATCCTGGAGTCCCAGGATCAAGTCCCACATGGGGCTCCCAGCTCAGCAGGGAGTCTGCTTCTCCCTCTGACCCTACCCCCCATGCTCTCTCTCATTCTTTCTCAAATAAATAAATAAATAAATCTTTAAAAAATAACTATTCAATTTCATTTGACTTTTGCCTAGTTCATAGACATAGCCATTGAGATTTTACCAGATGTGAAAATAAACGATTTCTCTCATAAAATGCTCTTTATTAAAAAGAAAATTTTCACAGCATGAATAACTAGCCTTTCCAAGAAGTTTCTAAAAACACACACATACACACTTTTGAGAATGTTAGCTGAATTAAAACCATGGTTCCTTAGCATCATGAAGCTATTTGGGCAAGAAAGAATTAAAGACCTCAACCGTTTCAATACATTGAAAGAAAAAGGGTTTTTATTTGTTCGGTGCTTATCTGATTGATTGATTACTATATTCTATAGATGGTGTTTTTCCCTCAATGAGTTTTTCCTCAAAATTCTCTCCCAGGCGTAAACTGTATTATTAACATCCCCAGGGTCATTAATATTTTGATAATATATTGGGGTTCCCTCCCAAGTGCCACCAATATTCAGAAAAGAAACACATGTCCTTGGGAGAAAGAGAAAAATGAAAAATTTTGACAACTGTCTACACAGAAAAATTTTAATTGTACATGGAATAAAAATCTGGGAGAAGATATATTAAATACATCTGTCCAAAAGAGTAAATTCTACTGTGTGAAGTCCAACTGATTGCTCCTAAGGCAGGGTGTCCAGGAGATGAAATGAGAAAGCAAGCAAGCCTCACAGTATCAACTGTTGTCTCCTGAGAGGATACTTAGTACTTGCGAGGCAGGGTACTGAGTACTTAAGTCCATTATTTCACTGAATCATCTTAAAACAACACTAGACTTTATTCTACTTTGGAGGACGTAGAGAAAGAGGGTACTTAATTATGTAAGATCACACATATATAAGTGTAGGACGCTCAGATGTCTCTGACTGCCAAGCCCATGCTGTTAACTGCTAGGTTATAGCACCACATGTATTGGCAGCTTTCTATAGGCCAACCACACGGTCCTAGGCACTTTATATTATCCTGCTCATCCTCATAGGTGAGCTGGGTATTACTGCCCTAACTTCATAAATGAAGAAACTGAGGCTTAAAGCAGTTAAGTAACATCCCAGGACAGTAAGGTTTTTAAGCGAGGTCTATCTGACTTCAAAGCTTGTATTCCAAGTACACAATGAGAGTAAAAATTAATTAATTAATTAAGATAGAGTGGGGGCAGGGCCAATTCTTTCCATATTAATAATGAAACTAACAAATTGGGAATAAAGATGTTAAGATGATGAAAGACCTTCTTCTAACTCAGTGCTTCTCAACTTTGGCTTCACATTAAAAAATTCCGATGCTCATAGAACTACCCTATGACCCAGCAACTGCACTACTAGGTATTTATCCAAAGGATACAAAAATAGTGATTCGAAGGGGCACATGAACCCTAATGTTTATAGCCACAATGGCCACAATAGCCAAAATATGGAAAGACCCCAGATGTCCACTGGCTGATGAATGGATAAAGAAGATGTGGTATATAAATACAATGGAATATTACACAGCCATTAAAAAGAATGAAATCTTGCCATTTGCAAAGATGTGGAGGGTATTATGCTAAATGAAATAAGTTAGGTAGAGAAAGACAAATATCGTAAGATTTCACTCTTATGTGGAATTTAAGAAACAAAACTGATGAACACAGGGGAAGGGAAGAAAAAATAAAATAAGATAAAAACAGAGAGGGAGGCAAACCATTAAGAGACTCTTAACTATAGAGAACAAATTGTTGCTGGAGCGGAGGTGGGTGGGGAGATGTGGTAATTGGGTGATCGACGTTAAGGAGGGCACTTGACAAAGTGAGCACTGGGTGTTATACGCAATTGATGAAGCACTAAATTCTACCCCTGAAACCAATAATACACTCTATGTTAACTAACTTGAATTTAAATAAAAATTTTTTAAAAATTCTGATGCTTAGGCTCTCGCCGTGGAACCCAGAGAGAGGAGTAGTTGGTAAAGCTGATTTCAATTTGTAACCTCAGGTGAGACCCACTGTGCTAGAACTCTCCTTCAGCTGTGTGCCATTGTATTACTTTTCTCACTTATGCATATTTAGATATAACAATAATATTATCTCTGATGGCTTTCAAAAAAGTGGAATAATCTGAGAATAAAAAAGAAAATCCTTCTCTCTCTTCCTCAGATTTACTGAGAAAGCAGTTAAATCTCCTTGAGCTGAGGAGAATCAATAGCCATTTAATAAATGCCAGTTGACTATAGAGGTCCTAAAAAACTTGGAAGGTAATCATTGAATTAATTGCTTTAGAGAAGAAGCAATAATAAAATCTAAGGGGGCTGCCAAATGTCTTTGCCAACTAAATAGGTTGATACTAAATGAAGAATCTTGTGTTTCCCTTGCACTTCTTTGGCTAAAATCCACCCTTCGGGTTATAGCCTTCCCAATTGTCATTTCTGCTTTTATTTATAAGATCCTATATTCTCTTCTCTAAGAGACTTCACACCAACTTCCATTGATCATGGTCCACCTGAGCCTAATGAGTCAAAGTATTAATTTTTTTATAATAGACTTTATTGTTTTAAAGCAGTTTTCGGGTTTACAGAAGAAGTAAGCAAAAAGAGTTCCCCTATGCCCTATCTCCCGCTTCAGTTTCCCCTATGAACCTCTCACCTTAGTGTTCACTTGTCATGACTGATGAGCCAACACTGACACGCTACTATTAACTGAAGTCCATAGTAACATTAGGGTTCACTCTTTGTGTTGTACAGAAAAGAACGGTTTTTAATTGGCCTCTAGTGACCATGTATTCCGTTGATACTGCATTATATCATCTTTATAATAAGTAACAACCTATCCCCACCAGTAAAACTAAAGATTTCCCTCCAATTTCTCAATGTCCCCATGTGCTCTTTACCCTGGGCATGTAGGGGGGAGTTGGAACGTAAGATTGAGAGGAAAAACTAGCTTATTATGACCTCTTCATCAAGACTGATTTACTGGAACGTGAACTCTAGGGGAAGTTCTAACAAAGTGATACATATGGTGTCAGGAGTGCATATGCTCTGGAAGAAGTCTGAACAGGTGAAAAAGATATCAAGAGAATGCACAAGAGTAGTCATTTCAACCTGACTAGCACAGCACATAGTCAGGAGGGAGTGCTCCACGCCAAAAGGAAAAGAAAGGGACTTCTTGGTTTAATGGACTTCATTAGGATTTCTCTAGCTACTGAGAGAATGCGGCTGCTACAAATGCAGTGAGGAAGGACCCAGAATGTTCTAACCTTTTTTTGGCCGGGGGGGGGGGGTAGAAAAGAAAAAGAAAATACAGAAGGACTCCAGAGGGTTCAAAGCCAGCTGTCAGCGTCTCTCCCACACCCTAGAGGCATGTCCCCCGATACTCCCAGGGCTCCCTGAATCTGCACGTGTTCCCCAAGCCCAGAAGCTGCCACCGCGTCACCTCCCAGTAAGCTGCCTGCATATGTGATACATATCAGTGCTTGAGGTACACGAAGGAAGAGGCCCCTGGTTAATGTGGCTATTCCTGCTCACCCATAGGGGCATTCTCCTATCATGGCCAAGTCCACCGCTGAAATTGTCTAACACTTTTCAAATGCTCTTTTATTTCCAGCCAGCTACATATGGCCAATGAGACCAGCCTGACAGAGCCAAAGCAGGGCTGTCCCTCAGCCAGCTGGCAGCAGGTATGCCTACAATCTGTGGCAATGAAGACAGCGCTTGAGTGAAGCGGGCACCTTCCCCAGGCAGGACTCCTTGGAGCCAACAGAGAGCCTCGGCCCCAGCAGCAGATGCTCTTTAAGGCCCCCTGTCTGCCTGCAGCCAGAGCACCAGCCTCCAGAGGCTGTGAATTCAAAGCACTAATGTTATTCCTGCTTTAGTTACTTATTTCAGTTCTTGCCTCTCCATCACATTCGATGGTTCTCCCTTCAAAGGGTCACAGGTTATCCTTTGAACTAGCACAATTTTTTTTTAAAGATTTTATTAGAGAGAGAGAGAGAGAGAGAGAGAGAGACAGCACGAGCGGGGGGAGGGGCAGAGGCAGAGGGAGAAGCAGACTCCACCTGCTGAACAGGGAGCCTCATGTAGTGCTGGATCCCAGGACCCTGAGATCATGATCCAAGCCGACGGCAGATGCTTAACTGACTGAGCCACCCAGGTGCACCTGAACTAGCACAATTTAACACTGAAGAGTAAACACAAAACAAAAAAAGGGCATTTCAACTTGAATATTAACATATGTACTTGGACTGATTTGAGATGGCCATAACTCAATGGTTGTGAGGGACTCTTTCCTTTAGACAGAAACTAATATTCACTTACCCTCCCATCTTGCAGTCCCCAGTCCCACCTTTCCAGGCTCTCACGTACTTTGGATTGGCCCACAGGGACACTGGCTTAAAGGTTCCACTTGAAAAATAAGGTCCCACTGGGCTCAAGATTACAAAGAGCAGGGCTTTGGTAGGCTTCTTGACTCCAAGAGAAGGCTGCAATAGAGTAAAAGTACATACAACTGTTAATTTAAATGTAGACACCAGTCTTCAAGTCTAGAATAGATCTGTAACTATCTCCCAGAGGCGCTGTCTAAAGCACAGGAGCTGTTCCTTCTCAAGCTGAGTTACACAAAGCCAGATGGTCTTTTAAGAAGAAAACACAAAGAAAGGAGTGCTGAGGATTCATCTTGCTTTGCCTTCTGAGTTATGATTTTAGGGGAAAAGCAAATTTGTCACAATTTTTTTGTGAGGAGGGCGAGGGGAGAAATATATTTTTGACAACCACCTATATAACACCTTGCATTGATTGGGAATTGAAAAAGGGAAGAACCCAGACATGATCTTCATCTTTGGAGAGGAAATGAAATATTTGCTTTTCTAACTTCCCCTTCTGTGTTCACAGATTACTAACCACTTCAAGACATGCCAGGGCCTCCCGCAGGTGGTGAGTATAGGTGAGTGTGCCATTACTATACCTCCTGGTCACAGACAGCAGACAGCAAGAGCGGAGCGTTACTAGAGGCAAAGATACTAGATGAGATCAATATTCTCCCAAAAAGCCAGAGGATGAAGGACGCAGGAATTTGTGTCATGAATGACAACGACAGAACATGGTCTTTCCCCACAAACACTGTGAAATCATAAGCTAACCATGCAAAACTATGTTGTCTCCAGCACAAAACAGCTATAAGTAATTACTCAGTTGTTTACTAAGGAGGAAAACTGAAAGACTGAAAGCTTTGAGGGTTGTGTATTATAAAAGCAAAAAAGGCCACTGTGCTATTCTATGCGATTCAAGACCATCAGGAATAAGAAAACAAGTCCAGGACTATTACAATGACAGTCTCAGGATATAAAGTGCTTATGTCCAGTCTTCAGCAGAGTCCTGTCTGACTAGATGGTGGTAAGAGTCTGTCATGGTAAGAATAAGAAGAGACTCAACTCCAGCTGATTGTGTGGCTTTTGTTTTGTTTGATGAACTGGCTAAAGTGGGTCTGGGGATTTTTTTTTTTTTCTGAATTTCATTCTATCTCCCCTCTACTACCCATTGGCCCAAGGCCCTCACTCACTACCTATGCCCAGATCATCAAAAATCAGGTAGGTAAAATATTCATGGGCATAAAAAATGTATTTGTATATGTGCACATTGATGCCATCTGAAAGGCACGCAACCCTCAGAAAATGGGAAGATGATTCCATTTGCATTCCATGTGAACATGAGACCAAGAAAGGCCTGGATGGCCACAGTCAGCAAGAAACAACAGGTTCTGGTTTTTTACTTGTTTGGATTTGTTCTTAGTTGGGGCTAAACAGGACTCCCCTACCAGTAAAGAGTGAAAAGCCTTAAAGATTCACTTGCCTTTTTTTTTTTTTTTAATTTCATTGTTTGGGAGAAAAACCTTCAGAATAATAATACATACCTATCTTTCTTCCCAGCTTTGATAAACATTGACTAACTTACCTCTACACTTTTATGAACCCTATTAGTTAAGTAAACACAATGATTCTTATCAGAGGAGCTCTGAAGTTTAATACTTAAAAGAAAATGTTTCTGGACCCTCACATTGAGTAATAAAGAGAAGCTTCCCAACATAACTTAGAAATGCAATCTGCAGCACAAAGCCTCAGTGATTTATCTAGCTTCTAAGTTTCTGAATAAAATAGCTTATTTGTGGACAAACTGATAAGCATTTTATTAGATACCCACACAAATGTCTGGACTTTTTTCACTCTAAACTCATGTATTTTTCACAACCTGCATTTTACCAAAAGCAATAACATCATCATGGAAATTTTGTTGTGGGATACATTTCATCTTACTCATTTCCTTCCCCTGACTTTGACAGGTCATCTTGCATTTACTCCACTAGATGGTGGTGTAGAGAACACAGATGGAAAAACGGAATAATCTTATGCATTAAATCTCTTTCTGGAAAAAAAAAAAATCAATAAACCTTTAAGTAACATTTATTCTTAGCAAGCAGATAAATTATAGATGAGAAGTTTTCAATGCTGAGAGATAATATGTTTATGTGTACTAACCTTTTATTTTCTGAAATTTAAGCAAAGCCAACTCGTTTTTTTTACAAGCATTTCAAGTACTAGTGTCGATCACAGTTTGGCCACCTTCATCCTTAAATAATTACTTATATTGATCATCTTCTCATGAAAAGAACTCTGTGACTTTACTACAAATGGTCATACTGCTGCAAGATTGAAAATAAATAAAAGGTAACTGGGAGGAGCTTGGGGACTGGGTCTGTTTCTAGCCTCAGGAACCATTATCTGTTTTGTCTTAATTCTCCCTTCTATCCTGGAAAGCAATTTAAATTCTGTGCTACTGCTACAGTTAAGAGCAACTTCTTCTATAATATTAATTAAATGCTAGGAAACATACTTCTATGATGACCTAGTCAGGCTTCTGTTCAAATAAAGCAAAAGCCACATAAAGAGAAAATATGAACACCTGATAAATTGTGTAAATGTTTCAATAAGTCTCATTTCCTTATGAACATTTTTTTATTCTTTTTTCTAGTTTCCTGGATTATTTCAATATATAAGGAATTGGAGACGGCTTTAAAAAAATAAAAGTCATGGGAAATGAGGAATATAAAAGCTCACAGATGCAAATTATATAACTTCTCAAGGGACCATACTGACTTAAGTCAAAATTCTGATGTGTACAAAAAAGATACTCATCATACTACCTCACAAATACATATATAAAGGTATTAAGTACCTGTATATTTTGCACAAAATAACAATATACTTGGGTGTGATGAAAAATAAAGTGATGTGTTCCAGTGAAAATCACCACTTGTGAGTCAGTTAGAAAATTAGTGTATAAAGGCAGAATTTCAGAGCTTATATGAATGATGGCAGGAAGTGTCCCAGGAGCTGAGAAAAGGTACTAGTTAGTCCTTGTTGTGGTGTGGGAGGTAGAGAAGCACAGCAGAAAATAATTCTGTTTAAGCAGGACAAATACGGGACAGAAGAAATAAGATAAGTGGGAACAACAGGAACATTTTTTCAAAAAGAGTGGCATGACTTTTTTTTTTTTAACTCCAAGAAGAGCCTAATTTGTTTTAGAGGGGAAAACAGTAAATATTGGACTGAGGGGTGCTATAAAGATATGGAGAGGACCACGGGTCCACGCAAGGCCTTGAGTGTGTGAGTTACAAAACGGAGGGCTAACAAATTTATGCAGTTTTTGTAGGAAAAACTAGTTGATTTGGTGAATGATTTAAAAATCCTCAATAATTATACAGTTTTTGTTTTCTAAGACATTTCACAGTTAATGCCTCATCTAATCCAACAAGCCAGGAAGTTAAGGGTTATAACTCCTGTCTTTATGTTGAAGAAACTGAGGCTCCAAACAAATGATTTGCCCAAGGTCTCAGTTATTATGCTCTAGATCTTTTACTCTTAATCCAGACTTCTTTTTATAATATCAAAGTTTAAAACGATAAGTGAAGTACACAAGATTTCTTGCTCTGGAAAGAGTTCAAGCCAGGGCGTCACTTCCTGCTACCTCAGCCTTCAGCACGGCCCTCACACTCTATGCATCTCATGCTCAAACCTCCTCACTTTCTTGCCTCTACATGTCTTCCTGAACTACTCGCCCTACCTGGAACACTCTCCCCCTCCCCTGTTATGGACTGAAACATGTCTACCCCCAGTTTGAAGCCCCAACTCCCAGTGTGACTACATTTGGAGCTAAGGCTTTTAAGGAGGTCATTATGGTCCAACGCGATCGAGAAGGGGTGAGGCCCTAAATCCAACAGGGCTGGTATCCTTCTAAGAAGTGGAAGAGACATTAGAGCATGAGCTCTGCACTCCCTCTCCAACCCACTCCCTCCACACACACAGAAGGCTCTGTGAGGACACAGCGAGGTGGATGTCTATGGGGAGACCTTACCAGAAACTAACCCTGCTGGCACTTTGTTCTTGGACTTCCAGATCATCTCCAGAACTGTGAGAAAATTAAATTCTAGTGTTTAAGACATTCAATCTGGTATTCTGTTATGGCAGCCAGAGCCGACTAAGACATCCCCTCTCTTTCCTAAGTAATACAAACCCTTCAATCTCAATTTCAATGTCATTTCAGAAAATGAGCCCCCTTCACAAAGTTAGGTACTTGTGTTACATGCTACTACAGCACCCTGCACTTCTGTGCATTTAGATAAAATGTCCATCGCACCTGCTTACAAATAGCTCTTTAATTCTCTACCTCTAGCTAATCTGCACACTCGGTGAAGGGCAAGGCCATCTTCATCCCCTACAGAGCATTGTGCCTTGTTATACCAGGTTTACTATATATCTGTTGAATGACTCTTCATCTTATAAGAAGTTGTTTATAGAAAGGAGCTCTGAAAACAACCTAGATGATTTGTTTGCCATATCTGAACTACTGATGCTAGTCCTCCTATGCTGCATTGACACCAAAGAGAAAATGTTCCTTTGTCCCCTGCCTTATTTCCTTTAGTGCTGACCTCTAAACTAACAGAATTCATATGTAGACATTCAAAGAATACCATGAGGGAAGCTAAAGTCCAGAAGTTTCTGAGGCTTGCTATAAAATGGGTAGGGGAATCTCAGGCCTGTTCAGAGAGAGATAGTATATATTTAACACTTGACAAAAAGAAGGCTAGCATTCTTTTTCAGTTTTTAAATAAGAATAAACTTAAAATTTAGAAAGCACATAGTTAAAAGAAAACTTAAGACAAGGGAAAAAGAACACCTACCCGTCAAAGGTTACAGAAATGCAGTGATAGTGAGTGCTTATAGCATCAGTGTAAGGGTTAAATTAGATAAACTGTGGAAAGCACCCAGAACCTCCTCTTTTTCAAGTATCCAACAAACAGCAATTATTTTTGTTTTTAAAAATACTCATTTAATAACAGTAATTGTGGTATAGAAATTCAGTATGTGCCAATATGCAAAGCATGAAGGTGACATTAAGATGACTGTAGATGGGACCATGGAACTACATT